GAAAATAACAATCGATAATGTTTTATTGGGTCCTCGCGGTAATTCGTAATATTGGTCTCCCTCGGTTGCTCTCGCATAATGTTTAGTCTGTTTACATGTGTCGCACGACGCGACTACATCTCGCGCTATTTTATCTATGTTCAACGCGTAAAAATGTTTTCTCGCGAAACCAATAACTTTGTCTGTGCCGAAATGCAATAATAATTGATGTATCTTTTGTATCATCTTCCATGTGATTTTTTCAGGCAAATAAATTATATCTCCTCCTCCTGTACATTTTAGTCTTATTAATCCATCCCTCTCATAAACATTTTCGGGATCATTTCTCAGGAGTTTTTGGATTTTCTCGTCCTTCTCTTGTGCATTTCTTATTATTGGTATCCAATTATCTGTATTATTTCCGTCCTTGGGATTCTGAATCAACGCTATTCGTTTTACTTTGTCGGTATCTACCATACTTCTGGTTCCGTATCTTGATAATGCATCGGCATCTTTATTCTTTTCCAGGTATATGGATTATTTCCAATTCAAATTCTTGTAAGAACGAGAACCATCTTGCGATTCTAGTATTATTCTGCACACATGTTTCTAAAAATTGTAGAGCTTTATGATCTGTGTGGACTCTTACGTGTCGTCCTAATAATAATGTATGCCATTTCTTCAAAACCCATACGAGTGCTAAACACTCCAATTCCGTAATCGTATAGTTTAATTCTGCTCCTTTCAGTGACCTGCTAGCATATGCTATCGTTAATTTCGCGTCAGATGCATCGTCATATTGATACAGACGTGCACCGAGTCCGCTTCTAGCAGCGTCTACGAATATTCCAAATTTTTTATTAGGTTGGGTCAGAAATAAGTTTGGCGCCTCCACAAACGCTCTTTTAATTTCGTTAAATGCATTTTGCTCCTCCTCTTTCCATTGAAATTTAGTGTTTTTCTTGAGCAAATTCTCCAATAGTTTAGTCATTCTTGACAGATTTTTGATAAATCTTCTGTCCCAGTTAATTAATCCAAGAAACATCTGTACTTGTCTTTTCGTTCTAGATCTTTCAAAATTATGGATCGACATGCGAGTATCCTGATTTATTTTAGCTTGGATCTCATTAAACGTATGTCCTAAAAATTTTATCTCTTGTTGCAGGAATTCACACTTCTCTTTATTTAATTTAAATCCTGCTTTTCCCAGCTTATCCATTACGAATTCTAAATGATGCAAAT